AGCCCTGCCCGGAGAGCAGCCCTGCCCGGAGAGCAGCCCTGCCCGGAGAGCAGCCCGGCAAACTCTTATCAAATAACAACAAACCAAGTCAGAACCCTTGGAAAGGGCAGCAATAACACAACAGACAGGCTCCCTGGCACACTGCAGCTCAGCAGGGACTGAGGAAGGAACACGGCAAGGTCTGGTGCAGGAAGCCAGAACAGACAGACACAGCAGCCCTCACACCCTGAGGCATCCCCGGGTCACTCAAAGCAACAGACCCTCCCGCAGGGACGGCAGAGCCAGCCCAGCTACCGAGATGGGAGCAAAGACCACCCCCACGGGATTACCTGGGTGCCTCGGAGACGAGCTGCTCCTCACAGGACACGGAGACGGAGCAGACACGAGGAGACAGCCCCTGCCCCAGCCACCAATTTATCTGCGGGGCTGCACCAGCTGCGGGTGAGGAGCAATCCCGCCCGGCTGCAGGTGAGGAGGGATCCCACCCCGCGCCCACCCAGTCCCCGGCTCCAAAACGGGCCCAGTTACCAGGTATCTGAGCCCTCTGCACCTCGGGCACCGCCAGCCAACGAGGCCTCACTCACCTCGATGCCTTTTTTCATACATCTACAGTGAATGGCAAAACACTCCTGGGTTCTTGTGGAGGTTTGTCAGCTGCATCCCTGCTACCCAAACACCTTCCCAAGGCAGCCCTGCCCCTGCTTCTCCACGGATTTTGACAATGTGTAAGGGCTGCTGCAAGTCACCACGACACCGACATTTTTTCATAGTTTTCTTCTTAATCCATATGCATATTCTTCCTAATGCTGATGTATGTTCTTAATATATAATTTGTATTGCATCTCATGGTATCGTTTACTACACAGCAAACCCAAACCCCTCCCTTTGCTGTGCAGGCAAGAGCAGCCCCGACCCGGGGTCCGGGTGTCCTCACCGGGGTCCCTCAGCCCGGCTCCACCATCCCCGCCCCGCTCCCGAGCATCAGCACGGCTGTTATTTGCCTTCATATCCAGTTTCCTAAGGAAAACCACTCCTTACGAGCAAAATAAAATCGTGACAATATTTGTGTGTTTGACCGGCAGAAGCGACAGAGGCACGGCCGCCCAGCACGAACCCTGGGGGGACCCCAGCAGGGACCCCCGGCATCCAGGAAAATGCCCCCGCTCCCGCCCCACACTGGAAAACAGCCCCGCTTTGGAAAACACCCCGTCTCCTGCTCCGTGCTGGAAAATACTCACCCTCCTGCCCCCCGCTCCTGCCGCCGCCCTCAGGCAGCCCCCCGAGCAGCTCCCCCGGGCAGCCCCCCGAGCAGCCCCCCTGAGCATCCTCCCCGCTCTCCCGGCATCGAACACCGACGCCGCCGGCACAGCGCGGAGCGGCGCGGGCCCGACGGGCTCTGCCCACGGTGCAGTCACGGGGGGACGGGCGGGGGGGTCGGTGCCGCTCCGTGGGGGGGTCAGGGAGCCGCCCCCCGGCAGCCTCAGTGCTGCCGTCCCGCAGCATCGCCCGGAGCATCGCTCGGAGCATCGACAGGAGCATCGACAGGAGCATCGCCCGGAGCGCGGCGGCTGCGATGGGTGACAGGGGGGCCGAGCAGGAGGCTGAGGGGGGTGACAGGGGGGCCGAGCAGGAGGCTGCGATGGGTGACAGGGGGGCTGAGCAGGAGGCTGCGATGGGTGACCGAGGGGCTGAGCAGGAGGCTGTGGGGGGTGACAGGGGGGCTGAACACGCCGCGCCGACAGAGCTGGAGGAGATCGTCAGCAGAATCTCTGATCTGAACAAATGGAGAGAAATCTTTAGTTTCCGTGGGTAAGACTTTTATTCTACTTCTTTATCACGTTTTTAATTCCAGGTGGTTATTTAATGTGATTTTTAAAGTTATGTTTTATTACAAAACATGTGCCGATGACAAAAGGTCCTTGTGTTTCTGTAATACAAGTGCTACAGTTCTTATTCTTCCTTTGTTCTGGGGTTCTCTTCTGGCTGGACTCCGGTTTCTCCATATGCCAGCAGTGCCTCTGTTGGGTTTTTTAAATTGTGCTTTATTTACCTTTTCAGCTTGGAAATCAACAACACAATTCATCAGGTAACTCTTTTCCAAAGGCAACATTTGGTGTTTGTCTGGGGGGTTTTGGGTTGTCCTGCCGGGTTGGCACATTGAGGAGGTCACACACCCGTACCCACAGCCCAGGTCTCTGTGAAGATCCATTTCTCATGCTGCTCCTTCGAGAAACAGACGTATTCTTCGGGTATTCTGAAAGTGTCCCTGATCTAAATCAAAGGGGCAGAGCAGTCCAACACAAATTAACCTTTCTGTCTAAAACTAGTGGTTTCCACAGTCAGTCTTAGAACACAGGAAAAAGGATAACGAGCTAACATTTCCAAAATGCAAGTGTTTGGAAAACTTGCTGCGCCCTTAGGTTGGGAGGCACTGAAGGGTGTTCTCTGTAATTCAGACACAGTGTTAGTCCCTGCTCCAGTCACCAGCTGGTGGGGATGTGCTGGGAATGCCCGAAACCAGCTGGAAGTCAGGGGCACCCATGTTCCAGGGCAGCACGTGTGTCTCCCCTCCCCGCCAGCCTGCGGCCGGGCACTGTGCCCACCCCCCTGGGAACATTGGGGGGGAACTTCGGGTGCGTGAGAGCAGCAGCCCTGGCTGATGCACCGTCTGCTCCTCTCCCTGCAGCGAGGCCGGGGCAGAGCTGCCGATGGACCACCCGGAGCCGGGGAGCCCCCGGGGCCGCAGCCCCCCTCCACCATCCCGCAGCCCCTCCTGCTCCCTCCGGGCACGGGCCGCCCCCTCTCCCCGGGCACGGCGATGGTGAGCTGCCTGCCTGCTGAATTAAGCATGAGCTGTAATTGAATCTCCTCAAGAGAAAGAGTCTCGGGAGCCTTTCCCGGCGTTCGGGCGGCTGCGGGCTGCAGCCTGCTGTCCCCTGAGCAGGGGATGGGCTGGGGATGCATTATTTATGAGACTCTGAACGAACAGGGCTGCAGCACAACCTTCGAGCTGATCCGCAATAATTCTCGTGAGAGAACCAGTCAAATGACAACGGGAAATGTTTACCTGCACTTTGGGGCCCCCCCTGACAAACAGCCTCAGATGGGAGTCAGGATCATGGAATCATAGGATCGTTTGGGTTGAAAAAGGTTTTTTACCCCATCAGTGAGCGATTCCAGCTCCTGCCGATGCCTGAGGGCGCTGCTGCCGCTGTCCAGCAGCTCGGAGGTTCTGGGGGTGAGGGCAGTGCAGGCCTTCCCCAAAAAGTGCCCTGTACCCAGACAGAGGTTATTACACGCTGTGACCTCACTGCAGTGGCTGAGCACTGAATGAAGTCCCTCACTGAGCCCAAACATCCCCTTTGCCCTGAAGTTGTGAGGGCTGACAGTGTGACAGTGTGACAGTGTGACAGTGTGACAGTGTGACAGTGTGACAGTGCTGTGAGCTCACCCCACCTGCACCCCCAGACCTCCCGACGTTACAGCTCATCCCCCGTGCTGGGACCCGACCCCCCTCTGGCTCCTCCTCTGCAGGGGCTGCAGAAGCTGCTGTTTGGGAACACAACCCCCCTGTTCAGCTGCGAGTGGGCAGCAGCACACTTCGGGTTCCACCAGCCACACTCTGACCTGGCCTACGCGCTGCAGGCAGGAAAGGTGAAGTGTCACAAAGCTGGGGTGGGATGGATGGCCCAGAGCCAGCAGCTGGCTGCAGGACAGGCTGTGATACCCTTCTGGGAGATGTTCACACAGGAGGGCTCAGGAGAGGCAGCAGGCTGCACAAAGCACCAGGACTTTCCTTTTCTTTTCTGAGAATTAGACTTACCTAATTCTTCCTGCTCCACCTAGGCATCCAACAGGTGAAGTCACCTGTCATTTACCAAAGGAGTGAGGTTTTTTTCTTCTTCCTTGTTTATCATCACAACACTGCACCCAAAACAGCAGAAGCCCAAGATAAACACTCAAATTGTAAATCCCCTAAATCACCTGGAGGCTGAAACGCTGGGTACAGCCACAGGCACCACTCCCTGCATTCCAAGGCTCTGTGCTCCCTGAAGGTACCACAGCCCTGACCCTGAGCATGGCAGGGAGCAGGCACAGCCACCCCCCTGCACAGCCTCACATCAGCCCCAGGCTGCCTTGGGACGTTTGACCCTTTGCTGTGAGACTGGAGGGGAGAAAAAACAAACTGTGGGGCTTCCAAGCACACATGGTGCATGGAGCTGGGGGACATTCCCTGGGGCAGAGCACTTTGAGGGAGGGAGGGAAGGAGGGAGGGCACCCATGGGACCCCTGCTGTCCCCAGCACACAGCCAGGGCCATCCCACAGCTTTCTCTCCACGAGGGCTTCCCGTTTTCCTCCTGGCCAGGGACTGCTGGGAATGGCATCTGCTCCTCACACAGGGGGATTTGTCTTTCTGTCCCTAGGGGGGAACAAGAGCTGTTCTGATGGCTGTACAAGCACACATCATCACATACCTGCTCTTCACAAGAGACACGGAATATACTCACCTGGACAGGTAAGATGCTGAGCCTTCCCATGGGACACACGGGAATTATTTCCTTGCCTTCCTTGGACTCAGGCAGACCAGCTGCTGGGTTCAGCTAAACCAGACCCAGGTTCAGCTGTGCAGCTACAGGTGGGGATTTGTACCGGGGGAGAAGCCTTGGCTGACCCCTGGGCAAGGCTTCTTCCCCCCAAATCCTCTGGTTTGGGATGGTGGCACACGCCCCCCACCCCTGGTGCCATGGGCACAGCCCCTGGTGTGACACAGCCCCTGGTG